TATCTTCTTTACATCCAAACTAAGCACAACGAAAAGAATATTCATACTTTTAGTGAATATTCATCCCAACGTGTATATCTTTACTGAAAATGAGAAAAACAATATGAATAATTGAATAGTGAATATTTATATAATTTTTTACTTTTAAAACCATAATCAACTTCATTACTTTTAAAATTGTTTCACAATTGAACACACTATCTGCTGAAAAGTAAAATAATCAAAAGTTTTGGATGTAAATAAATAGGGCAATTAATATTGTCAAAAACCTGTAAAATTTGGCATCAACATTAGGTGAAATCATGAAATGGGCTCAACTGTCAAAATTCGAGATAACACATATCATACCTCCAATGTTTCAATATTCATGGTGTCAACGCCATGACATATTGAGACATAACTGTCATGCAGCAAGAATTCAAATCGATATAGTTCAATTTAATGCAATTCATTGCTAAAAGTATAGCTAACCTCACAGGTCCTGTTTGGAGCGTCGGAACTATATTTGACAAAAATAAACATAACACACTGACTTCTAATAGAGTTGTTGAACTTGTTATAGACTCCAAGTTCAATTGCATATGCTGAAATTAATCCATTTTTAGATAGGAGTTAAACAATATCAGACACCAAATAACCAAAGCACGTAATGTTATTATGGAATACAGTTTAGTTTCATGTATATACTAGTTTAGTAACGTGCGATGCATGTTTGTGTAAATGCTCAAGGACATTATAGGCATATTACTTCACCAGGTTAAGTTAAGTGAATGCTCAAGGACTTCATGTCATGTGATGTGACTAGGTGATACTGTTGGTCGTCACACGCCTACCGCAGCACCCTCCTCCTTTATCCTGGCTTGGGACATGCATGATACCAAAAAATGATATTATGGCGGAGTTAAGTGAATGCATGAGTAATTTGATTAATTTTTTTGTATACATAATTTGTTAGAAATTGATAAACAAACTATATGAAGAAAATGTTTGTAGCTTGGATTGCATGCATGGGGGGATAAAGCAACCAAAATAACTATAATAACCATATAATAGGATATGATTCATATCAAATAGTAACAAAAACAAAAATGTTTTTGGAGAAATAGTCAAATATTTATTGGATTGTACTGCCTGGTGAAAAGTAAGAGTTCGAAGAAAGCAAACTTATTAATAAAAGTAGTGGAAAAAGTCAAGAGATATGCGACTTTAAAACTTAAAGATGCCATGCGAGCTAATATTCAGTACAAGATGGAATGCATCTCAATGGATAGAGTGGGTTTTAAACTTCCATACATTTACTTCGTATGTCTTTACTGGAGTTTCTCCTAGAAATGGGTGTTGGACTTGTACTTGACCTGCATATGGTATGAGAGCATCTACGGTGGATTAAACCTAACTCCCGAAAAGGGTTTAGTCAAATTACCAAATGATCATTGAGTTCTGAAAAATATTACATGAAATTAAACCTAACTCAATCACCAGTCAGTTTTTTTCTTTAAACTTCTCATTAACACCAAAAGATTATAAAATAGAACAATATCAATAAGAGAATGAATTTAATCTTTTAAATCATTTTATCAGCTAAAAAACATAGCATTTCCTCCACAAAAGAATCTGAGGAACAAATTATGATAGCATTTTAGTCCTAAAAACTGAACTCCTACTAATAGCATTGATATATCCTACATCTTTGAGTGTTGTTAGTGGGAAATGTGACCGGTGAAAGAGTTTCTTTTTATAATTTTCAACGTGATATTGTGTCGACAATAATAATTTCTGTCCTAAAATAAAAAAAAACCATATCCCATTTAATAGGAATTGAAAACATTTCCGTGAGGTAGGGCCCCTGAACAACCCAATATGTTTACACAAGAGACCATAAAGATTTTTGAGGTATCAAGTATCATGCAATGAAAAGCCATCTATTCTATCATATGGTTTCATTCTTTGTTGCATCACTCCAACTAATGGTTCATGTTTTTCCTTATACATAGGTGTTTTCCAATGGATGTTTTGCTTGACATTATGATCTTTATTCAAATATATAACAATCATGCATTTAATTATTCAAGCCCAGCAAAAATAAATTAAACAAGCATACATAGTAGTATACTTTAATAATGAAGAAAAATAAGCATCTTTAATTGTCAACATAGTTTTCTAACTTAAGTAACAATTACAAGAAAATCGAGTAATGCAATATCTACCACACACATAAAACAACACACACATAAAAATACAGAAATAATGTACTAGTATAAAGGATAACAAACTAACTAACCGGAATATTATGTATAAAGGACCACACACTACGCAAAATTAATACTCCCTTCGTCCCAGAATTATCTTCATTCTTTCCTTTTCGGTCCGTCCCAAATTTATCTCATTTTTCCTTTTTTGGCAAAGAATTTGTGGTTCACAACCATTCTTACACATATATCTTTCCTCTGCACAACTCTCCACCACACATTTCCCACTATCTTAAAACTCGTGCCCAGTCAAATAAGGAGATAATTCTGGAACGGAGGCAGTATATATTACGTGATTCTACATATGTTATCAGTTTAATATCTATTACATAAACTCATTTTATTAATAAATATATCACCCTTCTTATTTAATTGGAATAAGTTAAAATTGTTAGCCGCTTAGCCGGCTAATAAGCTGAAAAATGAAGTTATCATTCCAATTTAAATAGTATTTCCATGGACCTCAAATGCCATTGCTGCAAGAGTCCCGCTTCGTGTACACGCCGGGTTACACGCCATTTTAAGAACAATTTGACCGGCGTTTTAAGAAGAAAATTGATTTCCATACAGATAAAATATAAAGAGTTGTCTGTATCACAGACATTTTAGACCTGAAATTTTCATAAAATGTCTGTGATATAGACATTTTTTTATTATTTTTGTCTGTGTGAAAATCGGTTTTCTTCGTAATACGCCGATAAAAAATTTAGTGCAAATCGGTGTGAGGAGCCGGAAATGTGGTTGGTTAGTCCGCACCAAAAACGGACCTCCTTGGCGCACCGTGAAACTTGCTGGGCGCACCTCATTTTTTCCATGAGTGGACACATTTGTCCTCTTTCCAATTTGAACTAACTTGGCTTTTCAGTTTGCTGTAGCACATCACGAGAAACTAACGTAGGGCACTAAGATTTTCCTTAACTTTTACTCCGCATCTAACTTCATTCAAAAAATTAATTCTTAAAAAATGCTCTAAATCGATTACAAATTCCGACAATCACTAAATATATGAATATATACTTATAACATAATATAACGTTCTTATAAATTTTTTACACTCTTCTTATACAATGGAGGATGAATCTGAAGATTGTATAGAAAATTGTATTCTTGACTTTTATTCTTACGAGATATTTATTTATCTATATTTATATTAAACACTTCATATGTCAATTATTTGTATCTGAGTTTTCATTTGATCTGTTTCATTAAGTTTATTGCCTATATTGTTTGATAATATTTGGGTGATCATATATACTTTTTCATTCATCTTTGTATTTGATATTGTTTTTATTCTATTATCATATAACTCTAATTGACACAAATTAGGATGTTTTAACTTTGACTATTTTAACTTTTATCAAAATATTCCACATTTTGATAGTTGTATAACACACATAGAACATACATCTAACCTACCAGACTAGTTCTGACTTCAGACTGGACCAAAACTAAATAGGTCAAATCAAATCAAATCATACCAGATTATACTGGACCGAAAAATTACAATTCAATTAAAAACATTCTTATTGATAGTATAATTATAAATTAATGTCTCATATTTCATAATAAATGAATTCCCCTATAAATTTTAGAATGTTAGTTTTAAAATATTGTTAAATTTGTCTCACTGTAAAGTTTCAAAATCTGATTTTTTGAACTTTTTTGCTAAAAGAGAATTATATATAGTAATGGTCAAAGTTATGCATCGTCAAATGTAAAAAGTTGATTGTTGCACTTATTAAGAACATAGGAAGTATATTTTTATTTGTCTAAACTTTTTAATATTAAATACGAATAATCATAAAGAACTTTTTAATCATGTTTAAAGTTTTATAGTGTGATGGACATTTTCACTTCAACTCGTTTTAGTTTCATATCAGATTGTAGTATATACTCGACTTAGATATTAGTAACAATGTAAAAGACTAGATCTAATCGGACCAGAATTAAACAAATCTGAATGCTAAATCTTTTCAGGATTATACTTTTCTTGTGTACTTATGCCTAATAAAGAACAATTATAAACTTAAGGCACAAGTGTTACAAATGTTAAAAATAAGTAGTGCAATTCTTTTTTTGAACCCGGTAGGTGAACCATCATGCGGTGGTGCAATTTGTCCCACTACTCGTCTTAGACCGTCGTGAGTCAAGTAGTGTAATTTTTTAAATATGTTTTTATTTGAATAAGTAACATTTTTAATATTGGTAAAGAAATTATCTTCATTTTTATTTCTTTGACTAATTTCAGAGGTGGGGGTCCCACCTTTTCGAACTCGATTAGCGCCATGCTAATTTTGCATTAAGGCCATATATGTTATATCTATGAGCAGATATGTGAATGATATTGAGGATGTTTTTATTTGAACGGAATCTGATCCAGATACATTCAAACAAATCAAGTCTGATCAAAGTAGACTAGATTTAAGGAATACGGAGTAGTAAACACACATTCATCGACTGTTCACCCAACCAAACTGTAACAGATTTGACCAGTTTTTTTTTTGAAATTTTATACGGAGTATATGTATCATGAACAATTATCTAATCTGATACAATTTTTACAAAAAACAAAGCACAAATGAAAAAGTTATTACATTTTATAAAAAAAGAATTATTTACCCCATGGCATTTAATTATTGGATGAGAGTAAATTTAAAATTGATACGGAGTATAAGGCAGGCCGTGGCCCGTGTGATCTACGAGCTAGAACTAAACATCAATTTTATTTAATTTTAATTTAATGCTCCATAATTAAAAGGTCATTCTTGTCATGTAAGGGTTAGATAAAGTAAAAATGGGGGTGCGCGTAGCAACTGGAAGTGAAGGGAAAATGGCGTAGCAACCCCCACCAAAAATTTAGAATTGACTGTTCCAAAGTCAAAAACCTAGTTAAAACTCAAAGCTTTGGTGAGTAACTGGAAGTGAAGGGAAAATGGCGAAGTTCGTAACCAGCCGGATCTTGGCAGGGCCATCGATGATGTTAAGAAGACTGTGTACGGCGGTGGAGGTAAAGGCTGAGACGGAGGCGACACCTGTGGTGGATAATGAAAGCCGGCATCTTTACAAGAGATTATCGGCGTTGGGTTCAGCCAAAGGGAAGGTGTCGGAGGTTCTTAACGAGTACATTAGGGAAGGAAAAAGCCGTGTTGTCCGGAAACAACAACTCCAAAGGTGTATCACAGAGCTCCGCCGATATAGAAAACATCAATGTGCCCTTGAGGTCTGACTCCACCCCAGCCCTAGCTGCTTTAATTTCTTCTTTTTGCACAGTAGATAACAAATTCATAATAACATTGCTTTTGAAGTTTTATGGACTTCTCTAATCATATGTGATCCGTTTGGAACCTTCAAATGCTCTTGGAAGGAGATGATAACTACTACCCTGTACTATTTTCTCTAATCATATATGGTCCGAGGCCGAATGTCCCGCCTTCAATTGGTCCACCAACCCCACAGGGAAGCCCCGTTGGCCCCAACCAGAACAACTATGCCCCCGCACCAAACCAGAACAGTGCTGCTCCCTGGCCTGGCACCCTGAACAACTCTCCTCCATCTGGCCCCGGCCAGAATAACTGCTCCCCTCCTCCTCCTAGCCCAAGTCAGAACAATTACTCTCCTCCTCCCCCTGGCGGTCCTTCCCCAAACTACCCTGCTGCCCCTGGTCATAGCTACTCTCCTCCAGGTGGGCAGAACTACCATCCTGGCCCTGGGCAGAGCTACTCCCCACCGGGTGGGCAAAACTACCATCCACAGGGTCCTGGGCAGAACTACCCTCCTAGTCCTGGCCAGAGCCACTCTCCCCCCCCCCTCCTCCTCGTCCCACTTACTCTCCTCTGAGTCCTGCACATAACAATTATCCTCCCTCTCCTCCTCCAGCCCAAAATCCGAACTACGCTACAGGATCGAACCAAAGCTATGCTCAAGTTCCTAACCAGAACTTCACCCCAGGGGGGCCTAATCAGAACAACTTTGGGCCAAACATGGATGGCAGAAACTCTTACTAGAACCCCAGACCATAGACTCTCCTGAGTATTAATAGACTGCTGCTGTGCTGTTGTGTAACAGAAAACTAAAATCAACGGGTTAAACCGTTTCCCAAATAATCAACTATAAAAATACCGTTGGCCAGAGCCAAAAGGCTTAAACCAATTTTATTCCAAGATACGATAGAATGAACCTTGGCAAAGGGTATAAATAGCCTTCTAAGAGAAACCCTAATCAAGCCCAAATTAATTAAATCCCAATTAAGCCCATAATAACTCTACGAAATACTCTACTAATAATAGGCCGGCTTAGGCCCAAAGTAAAACATAGCATTAACTTAATAATAATAAATAAACTCTAATGACAGCCCTAACCCGGCCCACGGAAGTGGGCCCAAGCCCGGTCCCGCCCCATGCTCTTCCCGCTCTCTATCAATCCATCCTCCTTCAAAATAACCTTGTCCTCAAGGTTGAAATCCGGAAACCGGCTCACATTTGTCCCAAGGGCTGCCCAGTATCTTTAGGAAAAATTGAGATGTACTCCTCCCCAGTCCTTGTCTGCTTGCCTCCGGGCAGCCGTTTAAAACAATTGCCCTTAAACCGTGAGTCAAAACGAGCCACCAATGCCTGTGTAAGCTCATCCCATGACATGACCAACTTTCGTGCCCGTAACCAGGTCAACCAATATAAGGCTGGCCCTTCCATCGCAACTACAACGGCTGCCACCTTCTTTCCCGGCAGAGTACAGTTCAATTCGAACTGTTGCTCAGCCCTATCAACCCAACTGATCAGTTCTTCTCCGTTAAACGAGGGCAACATCGTGAGAAAGGTGCTGCACAGTCCAATTCCGAACGAGGATGCTGCTGCCGTGTCAAGTGAAGCCACCGCCGTTGAATGCTCCGCCACCGTTGGCGGCGCAAGAGCCTCTGTTAACGCAGCCAAGGAGGAAGTGACGCTGCACGGCTGTCTGTCGCTGCTGTGCGCAGATACGGTGGGGTTGCCAACCGTGTCCAGACTTGTTTCCGTTGTGACCGGAGGAATTAGCGCCTTTGTAAGCGCTGCCAGGGATGCAACAATCTCTGCCAGACGCATGCCGTGCTCCTCTAGGGTTTGATTCATCCGAGTTTGCTTGGCGACCATCTCTGTCAAGCGGTCGATCTGAGATCTCATCATCCTGGCGGGACGGGATCCGGCAGGTCAGACCAATTGTTGTGTAACAGAAAACTAAAATCAACGGGGTAAACTGTTGCCCAGATAATCAACGATAAAAATACCGTTGCCCAGAGCCAAAAGGCTTAAACCAATTTTATTCCAAGATACGATAGAATGAACCCTGGAAAGGGGTATAAATAGCCTTCTAAGAGAAACCCTAATCAAGCTCAAATTAATTAAATCCTAATTAAGCCCATAATAACTCTACTAAGTACTCTACTAATAATAGGCACAAAGTAAAACATAGCATTAACTTAATAATAATAAATAAACTCTAATGACAGCCCTAACCCGGCCCACATAAGTGGGCCCAAGACCGGCCCCGCCCCATGCTCTTCCCGCTCTCTATCATGTGCAGACAAAGTTGTAGGAGTTTTGCTTGAACTGTGTAGGGATGCTGTTTGGTTTCATGTTTATTTTTACTATTTAATCTTCAATTAGTACATTTCATGATCCATGCGTTCCTTTGGGTCGGAGCTGGTGTGCTGGTGGTTCTTTATTGTAAAACAGGAACTTCATAAATTATTGAGCCATTCAACAAATTAGTACATACTGAATCTATCTAAATATATATTCTGCTCTTTGGTCATTGCTTATTTTGCTTATAATGTATGGCCTAGATTTCAAATTAAATCTCATCACGATAACAATTAACATCCATAAAGCTCATCAATAATAGTGGCGATAGTTTCTGTATAATTTTTACCTCGTAAGAAGGTAGTGTCACTGTGCGTTGAGTGATGGCCTCATGACCTATCATCAAACGTTAGTGACTTAACCTAACAGGTCAAGATTCATTGGTGACATCTTCAAAGGTCTTTTGGGGGGGGGGGATAAGTGAACTTTTATTGGTCGGGTGGCCATAGAGAGCATTACATGAGTTCCATGAATTTCATTGAATTGTGAAAGACCTCGACATATACGAACTCCTGTTGGAAAACGGGAGCGGGCTTGTTCTCAATTGTTTGTACTTTGTACAAGTATGAAACCTAACTGTGTCATCTAGGAACAAATCTTGAGGGCCTTCTCATTCTCCCTCAAGGATACCTGGAATGCCGGAATGAGTACGATGATATCACAGAGCTCCGCCGATATAGAAAACATCAATGTGCCCTTGAGGTCTGACTCCACCCCAGCCCTAGCTGCTTTAATTTCTTCTTTTTGCACAGTAGATAATAAATTCATAATAACATTGCTTTTGAAGTTTTATGGACTTCTCTAATCATATGTGATCCGTTTGGAACCTTCAAATGCTCTTGGAAGGAGATGATAACTATTAGAAAGTATACTACCCTGTACTATTTTCTTAGGTGCTTTCAGATTTTCATTTCCTACCCACTTCCCAGCTAGTGAGGTCTTTCAATTTTAAAACTTTGCTTAGATTTGGGTTTTCATCCAGACAAAAAAGGTGAACAACTTTGCATTTCTGCATCACACTGAGAGGCAAGGAACTTTCCCCCACATTTCTATATTGTGGCCCTGCTTAGCAATCAGTTGTTTGCATTAGCTGTTAGTGCTTATTTGAAGTTCATTGTTTAGATTAGCCGTTTGACCCATTTTAACTTCAACTGTTTATGCAGAAATGTTTGGGTCAGTCCATTAGGTGCTTGAATGTATATATAGGGTTTTTAAAATGCTTCAAAAGTGAGCCATTTAAAATAGCTTTTGAGTGACTTTAGCCCTTGTGATAGGCTGATTACCATACATTTTAAATTAATTAATGGGAAAATCGCACATTTCGTCCCTGAAATAGTTGCCATATTGAAATGTCAGACCCGTATTTCGGAGGTTGTAATTGTCACCCCTCAATTGTCCAAATTGCTGTAAATGTGGTCCTTTGAGGGGTGAAATGTACTCCTCGCCCATAGTGTACATTTCACCCTCAAAGGACCACATTTACAGCAAATTGGACAATTGAGGGGTGACATTTACAAGCTCGGGAATACGGGTATGACATTTCAATATGGTGACTATTTCAGGGACTAAGAGTGCGATTTTCCCTTAATTAATTTACATAGTGCCACAGTTAATTTGAAATGAAAAAGTCACAAAGCCATAAAACACCCTCCCAGCTAAAATGGCGTTACAGCATGCCTTTGTTTGTGGTAAGTTTATTTTTCATGTGCTGATGCAGGTCATGGAATGGATGGTGAGCAGGGGTATTAACCTTGGGCATTCAGATCGTGCAATACTTTTGGATCTCAGAGCAAAGGTTCAAGGAATTGCAGCCGCCGAGAAATATTTCAATGACCTTTCACCTAAAGAGAAGGATTGCTATACGTATGGATCTCTTCTAAATTGCTACTGTGTTAAGAAGATGGAGGACAAAGCATTAGCTTTGTTTAAGGAAATGGATGAGATGAACTATGCTTCAAAGTCATTGCCTTTTAACAATCTTATGTGCTTGTATATGAGACTCGAGAAACCAGAAAAAGTGCCTCCTCTGGCAGAGGAAATGAAGAGAAGAAATATAAAACTAAGCACATTTACTTACAATATTTTGATGACTAGCTATATCTCTTCCAATGACATAATGGGAGTAGAAAGTGCTTTTGAAGAGATAAAGAGGGAAAACGAAAAAGCGTGTGACTGGACAACTTACAGTCATTTAGCGTGTGCCTACTCCAAACTTGGATTTAATGAGAAGGCTGAGCTAGCACTGAAAATGCTGGAGGAAGAGATGAGGGGGGCACCTAACCGTGAAGGGTACCACTTTTTGATAAGCTTGTATGGAGGAATGTCTAATCTAGTTGAGGTGCACCGTGTTTGGAATTCTCTGAAGTCCAAGTTTCAGGTAACAACCAATTATAGTCATCTTATCATGCTTCAAGCTCTAAGTAAGCTGAATGACATGGATGGATTAAAGAAAGTGTTTACAGAGTGGCAATTAAGCTGCTCTATTTTTGATATGAGACTAGCAAATGCTGTCATTAGTGCTTATCTAAGGCATGACATGGTAGCAGAAGCTGAAAAGGTTCTTCTTATTGGGATGGAGAGATCAAAGGGACCATTCTTCTTTGCATGGGAAATGTTTTCATCTTTCTTTCTGACGAAGGAGAAAAATATTAGTCGTGCTTTGCAGTGCATTGATGATGCAATATCCTTAGTCAAGGAGAGCGAATGGTCCCCAAAATCTGACACCATAGATGCATTTCTCAATTACTTTGAAGAAGAGGGTGATGTTGATGGTGCTGAAAGGTTCTGCAGTAGTTTGAAGAAGCTAAGTTGTCTCAAAGGTGATGTGTACAAATCATTGATGCAGACTTACATTGCTGCTGGTAGAATATCACATGATATGCGCCAGAGAATGGAGCAAGATGGGATTGAGATTAGTGATGAGCTTAAAATGTTACTGAAAAAGGTGAGTCCTGAATGACGTTAGGAGTAGCATATTTTCACCCGTTTATGGCTTTGTATGTGCTGTTACTAGCATTTGTTCGTTTCACACTTGAAAACCAAGATTGTTTGTAAACCCTTAATGTACTTTCCCCCCTCGAGTTACTTACTCATGGGGTTTAGCCATCCATCGTATATTCATATGCATTTAAAGGTTTTGTGTTGTAAAGGTTTTGATGATACTTTTGGATTTCAAAATGCCCTTAAACAACCGTCAATAGACTCTCAACAATGAAAACAAAAAAATTTCAAGTCGCATGTTTGGTTATCATGAATTTTTAAAATTAATTTAGAATTATATACTCCCTCCGTCCCATAAAATTCTTCTCACTTTCCTTTTTGAGCCGTCCCAAAAAATTCTTCCCACTTACCATTTTTGGACAATTTGTGTGGTTCACATTCATTTCACCTTTTTCGTACACACCCACAAGGTCACAACCATACATTTTCACTTTCTTAATCTCCGTGCCAAGTCAAAGTGGGAAGAATTTTATGGGACGGAGGTAGTATTTCCTTATTATTTCATATGGCGATAGTACTATGCCTTGTATGATGTCTACTATCCTAAAGAATGTTAGTTAGCATACTTGTTGTATTGGCTTTTATGTTTTGTGAAATATAAATGATGGATCGTCGACCCGAGGGTAGCCGGAATCCGAGAAGTGAGAGAGAAAACATGGTGCTAAGTAAGATCGATGTAAATTTCAGCAGCGTAACAACAAGATTGCACGGAGAATTTTGGATCCCTTTCCACAGATCAGAATTTGACATTTATACTAAGGAAAAATATTTGGCCAACAAACAAAAAAGATGTTATTCTATTGTGGTGAAGACACGTGTCACACATGTCTAACAGAATGAAAAAGCTAGTCTAATGGGAGGGTAACACGTGTAAAGGTGATTGTAGAGATAACTGAGACAGCTAGCTGATTGGAACTGTGCATAACAGATTTATACTAGAAGTCTAGAATACACGTGTGGATTACACGTGTGTTATCCAGAATATTCTTTATCTTATCTGTTGGAGTACGTGGCGCTTTGTATAGTGTTGATGACGTGGTGGTAGCTTTGTGTGGTACTTGGATGGCTGAAATGCCCAAGTTCATGTTCAGTAAATGGGACCCTGAACTCCAGGAGGTCGGAGCCCGGGTATCGCGTATTTGCTCAGGGAGACTCTCCCGGTCTTTGGTTTATGCAGTGATAGTCATTTCTTTGTGGTTATTTGGCTCTCGTTGACTTTCGTTGACTTAGCGCGTGTGTCCGAGGCCAGATCCGGTACCGACCTCGCTGTGTTCGAGGTCTCCCTCATATTTCATCATTCCTGGGTGATCTGCGAGCTTGATGTTCGTGCGGACCTCGGTGGGTCGAGGTCGGCCTCGGCCGGGGTTCCATACTATGTTGATTCGTTGCCCTGCGCTGCGACCCGACCTCATGCGTCGAGGTTGGCCTCGACCGCAACGTCATACTTGTGCTTATATAACAGGAAGCCTTTGTTCGTTGGTTACGATACCTCTGGGGTATATGAGAATATACTCCATCAATAAAAATTAAAAAACTCAGTCACATAAAGTTTATAAATTTGTATAAATCAATTGAAGTTGTTCATGAGATTTAACGGGGACAGCTTGACTTTGCATATCATGTTTGGGGTGATGTTGAACTTTGCATCCATTTTCAAAATCAATAATGAATCTTCCTTTTATTGAGAAAGAGTGAGGTGCAAAGTAAATGTTTTTATAGTGATTTGGGTGCATGTATCAATGATTTTGGAAAAAGGTTCAAAGTCAAATTCACCTAAAAACCCCGATTTAATATTATGAAGTGAATGAGCCATGCACCTTTATATATAGGCATATAGCCATGTATTTAATAATAATAATAACAACAACAACAACAATAATAGTAATAATAGTAATAATAGTAATAATTGGGGTGCATGTATAAATTGATTTTGAAAAAATGTACAAAGTCAAAATTCAACTAAAAACCCTGATTTAATATTATGAAGTGAATGAGCCATGCACCTTTATATATAGGCATATAGCCATGTACTTAATAATAATAATAATAATAATAACAATAACAATAATAGTAATAATAGTAACAACAGTAATAATAGTAATAATAACAACAACAATAATAAAGGGAAATCACATTTTTTGTCACTGAAATAGTCAACATATTGAAATATCATATCCGTATTTTCGAGTTTGTAAATGTCACATCTTAGAGTATCTTGAAAGATATATTGTTCACATTAAAAAAAATTGACACATGATCGATGTTAACATTGCTACTCGCATTTCCGTCTCCAATGCGGCATGTGTAAACATAAGTAATGCTCATCTGTAAAAAAATAACGTAAACAAAGTTAACATGAATGTCTTGTGATAACAACATCTTTCACATGATGACTTGCCAATTTGGTGGAGAAATACTGTAAAAAAAACGTTTGGGCGACAAAATAAATAAACCACAACGTGAAGTAGTGGGTTTCTCAAGTAACTCATCGCCGAATATGTAGGGGCCGGGTTTAAGGTTTTTTTGTTCAAAAATGGTGATTCTTACTCTGTATTTTATTTATTTTATTTAAAAGCAACACTTTACACATAACCTTATGAGTTTGGACTTTGACATGAAGCACTCTGCACTGGACCAAGTTTTGGGGTTCACCGTCTAATAAAATCACATTACAAGAATGAACATTCCATTTATTGATTGACATGTGTCAAAATTTACTTCCTGATAACAATGTAGCATTAAAGATGCTCTCATTTGTCCAAAAATTGTGTAAATGTGGCCCTTTGAGCGGTAAATGTACAAACTAGGTGATGAGTTCATTTCACCACTCGAAGGACCACATAGTTGTCCATAGTTTAAAAAATCTAAAAATGGTTCTATAGTCAATATTATCATATTTTCTACTCTGATTTTTCTTAGCATATTATTGTCTTATTCAATCTTATATTTTCATTGTCATAAACATTTCAAAGTTGTTTAAATTTAGTACGAAGTGTATGATAATTACTTAAAATATAATGGTGTGGGGAAACCCTGGCCCCCTCCTCCTCTCTTCTTTTCTTCTCTTCTTTCAATCTTCTATGATTTCAATAATAGAAAAACATCTTCTTAATCAGTGTTTTCAGTTTTATTCATGTGTTTCTTTTCCAACGTTGTTTGGAGGTATTATTTTCAGTAGCGAAATATCGTGTGCCAGATCCATATTCCCCGCCACTTTCGGTCAGGTGTTCTTGTGTGCTAAGAAGAGATTTGCATTGATCTCTTCATCAATAAAAACATGATTTTCTTCTGCGACAATATTGAGACGAATCGCCCCCCTCCTGAATCACCACCGTTCCAGGAAGATGAGATCATTTGGGTTGCTTTCTTTTCGATGGCTGATGAAACCGGAACAAATTTTACAATTTGCTCCATACCGGTGGTTGGAGAAACCGGGATGTTTAAGAGTGCTTTTGATAATTATTGTGATCGTAGTAGGATCGGTCAATCTGCAGGTAGAGACTACTTCTTTGCGGGATTAGCGATTCGGCGTTTTCGATTAGAATCGTCCGTTTCTACGTCTCATCTCGTTGTAGCCTTGAAATTTATGATTGTAATGTTTCTTGTCATCTTCATTAATACTACTAAATATAGTCAAATTTAGTTATTTGTTTTTAAAAAAAGATAATTACTTAAAATATAGTCAAATATTATAATTTTGTCTCTTATAATTTGGAATAACAGTGACACTAATTTACTACATAAGTTACTTCGGGGGTGTTTGGTTAATGGCGGGAGTGTTTGGTTAATGGCCTATCATCTATTTTTTGGCTGATTTGACCAATATTAGTTTTTTGACTAGATCAATCAGCCACTATATGTGTTTGATAAAGAAGCTTTTTAATTTGGCCTTTTATCCGAATCAGCCAAAATAGAAAGGGTGATGCTATACGCATCCCTTAGATAACTTAACGTGACCTTAATTTGGCTATTTTACCCTTCTGAAATTATTTAATGAAAAGAAGTGCTCCCTTCCTATTTCCATGTTGTAATTGACTCCCCTTCTAAAATTGTACTATGATCCCTCAAAATTTGTGCTCAGATTACGATGTGGCCATGAACTCTTTAATATACTCCGTAAAATATCACCGCTATTACTTTTTCATTTGTGTTTTGAGTTTCATAAAATAAATATCAAATTAGACATTTTTTATGATCTTTCATATGACACTAATAAATAATAATGCATATGTTAAATTTTGAAAAAATTTGTTTGGTTCGGTAAATGTTTGGTTGTATGATTTTACTATTATCTCAATCAAGTCTAGTCAGACTCGATCTATTTAAATATGATAGAATCTAATTTGTTCAATTTAAGTTTTGTTTGGTCTAGAACTAAAATCGCTCTAATAAAATTTGTCTGGTCTAGTCAGACTCGATATCCAAAACTTGTTTCACATTTGTACTCATAGATATACATGTATTGCCTTAAAAATAAGTCAAGAAAAATGAAAATTAAAGACAATTGGTTTACCAATGTTAAAGAGGGTAGAGATTTGAAGAAACAATTCATTAACTTTATGGAAGAGTACCATACAATAAGAATTAAGAGCCCGTTTGGTGACTCTGTTTTTCGTTTAAGCAGGCTTATCAATCTACTTTTTTACTCAACACGTAATTTTTGAATTCACATGTTGAATATTGTAATAATAAGAAAAAACAAGGTTGAAGTAACTTTGGGGTCGGCTTGACTGAAGTTACTGTAGATGATTATTTGTGTTATTATTGATATAATGTTTTCTTTATTCTATCAATAAAATATATTTTAAACATAATGTTTTCATAAACTAGCCGAATCACTCACTTCAGCTAGAATTCGTAAATTTCAGTAGAATCAGTCGATCCAGCCAATTTTAGTATTATCAAGCGGGCTCTAATTGTTAAAAGCCGTTTGATAACCCCTATTTTCATATTATCAATCTTGTAAGTCGGTTTTTACAAAAAATATAAATATCGATCTAATGTATTGAATTGTTTAATAATCAAAATACTATAAATATAAATATATAGTATTTCCCAAAGTAAAATACTATAAATGTTTGTCCCAAATTAAAATATCAAAAACGATTTACTTTAGTAAAATTGTTTCCATGACCGTGTAATGATAATACGGAGTAATAATTTAACAAAAACCAGGGACGGATCCAGGATTTTGAGTTAAGGGGGGCGAAAATTTTCGTTAGTGTAGGAGATA